CAGGGCCCGGAAATGCTGCGTGGGCTCTCAATTAGACAGAAGCGCGGCCGCCTCCCGCGCCGCGTCCCGGGCCGGCCGGGCTGCGGTGGTCGTGGCGGGGGGCGGGGTTCCGGATGGGCGGTTCTGATTGCTCGTCCGGGGTTGCTGAGACCTGGGGAGTTTTGTAAGTCCTCCAGGTTTAAATGTTTGTTTGTTCTGAGCAGGTCAAAAGAGAGCTGGAAGGTGCTCAAGGAAGCAAATGCAGATCTCTGGGACCCGCTGCTGATTCGTGGGCGGAGGGTGCGGAGGGGGACAGGTGGGTTTCATAAACATTTCCCAGGTGATTAAAACGTTTGGGAGGGGGTCCAGCTTTTTTTTTTTTTACTTTTTATGTTGTTTATTTTTATTTTGGGGGGAGGTAATTAGGTTTATTAATTTATTTTAATGGACATACTGGGGATTGAACCGAGGACCTCATAGTTGCTCAGCACACGCTCTACCGCTGAGCTACACCCTCCCCCCTTTCCCAAGTGATTTTGAGAGAGCTGGCCTGCGTTTCAGATTTTGAGATCCTCTGCTCCGGGTATTACTCCCAGAGTGGAGCCAATGCAGGCTTAGCAGGGCCCTCGAGGCCTGCCCTGCTGGCTGTCTTGCTCACAGGGCTCTTCTGAGAAGATCCATCCCCGTCTGGCTTGTTGTGCACCTGTTTCAGAAGCCGGAAAATTCATCCTCCACGTCTAACGAAAGTGTCCCAAACTTTGAAGATTGTTCAGTTTTTCTTCTCGCATCCTCCCCCTCTTCTTGTCACCAGTTTCCTGACAGTCTCTTTCATCTTGGGAGACAGGGAAAGGGGCCAGTAAGATTACTATGGGGGTGGGAAGGAGAGCCTCTGACCTCACTTTCCACAAAGAACTGGAATCCCAGGTGGATGGCAGGGAAGCCAGCCAGTCCCTCATTCCATGTCTCTCTCTTATCCTTTCCCAGTGGATGCTGAGGCCAGGGCTTCCCTGGGGTGCCAGCCCATGCCCTGCATCCAGGCTCCCAGAGGGCCCCCAGGGGAAGAGGGGGCTGCAGGTTGGCTCTGGTTGGCTCTGGAGTGGCTCTGCCACTCCGGACCCTGGCTGCCTCCCCTCCAGGTACTTTTACCTGCAGGAGGCAGAGATGGCTCAGAGGCAGCTGGTTCTAGAGCTGGAACCTGGGTCTCTGCCCACTTCTCCTTTGGAAAGGTCCAAATAAGAACTAGGACTCCTCACGGGGAAATAGATTAATCGCTGCATCACACTCGTGGCTGGCACTGGAGGAAGAGAGAGGACTCCGCAGGCCTGTCCTGAGTTGTTGGTACCAACAGGGTGCTACAGCAACCTGAATCCCATGGAGAGACCAAGCGACACTTGGAGGGTTGGAGAACTCAGGTTTATTATGACCACAGGCCCAGGGGAGTTAACCCTACAAGCTCTGGACCCCATCTGTAAGTTTACACAGGCTTTTAAATTTCGAGTAAGTTCATGCCATATTCAAATGAGGTATTAGAAATGGACCAATCAGGAGTGAGCTTCAGGAACCAACAGAATTTTAGGGGTAAGTTTCATTTTCCTAGAAGCAAGCCTTTATACAGAAGCACAAAAGCGGGAAGGCGATGGCCCTGCCTAGGAGGTCTTGCTGGTCCCTTTGTAGGCTTTGCCCCTTCAAGGGGATGGTGTGTGAACTGAGAACTTGGAGATGGTACACAGGCAGGGCAGATAGAACCAAACCTCAGAACCCTGACTGCTACTTTTAAAATATTATTTTATGTTTTCAAGAACTTCCCCCTGTCTGTGATCATCTCAAGGTCTTATCTTATCTTGTCTATGCAATCTGCCTGAGTCAGACAGATCTCTCCGGTCTTCTGAGTTTCTCCTGCCCCCACACTTGAGGGAAACAACCTCCGCACAGGAGGCTCCCAGGCCTCAGACTGAGCGTTCCAGTCTCTGGCTGCATCCCTCCCCATAAACCAACCGAACCCACCAATCAAAACACAAAACAGACAGCTGAAGTTGCTCATCAGAATAGTGGAAGGAAACCGCTCACTACTGTGCATACGTTTTAAAACAGGGTACGTTTTAAACCTGATTTCTCTAGTGTTTCATTTTAACAGCTTTTAATGATTTCAGAGGTTGAATGTGACATATGATTCTAAAGTATTAAGATTGGTTTAAATAGACAGAACTTCAGCATCCAGGCCAGCAAAGCTACACACTAATGCAACATTGTTGCTAACACCAAAACCTTTCAGAATCCTCTTTGGAGAGACAGAAGCTCTGAGTTAAGAGTCAGATCTCAGATTGCTGCCTGGGTAATGTCGGGCAGGTCCTCTAATCTTCTCGGATATTTCCTCGGATGTGAAATGATGTTAATGACACTATTTAGGTAATGCTGCTGTGAGAATTAATTGGTCAAACAAAGAAAAGTGCTTGGCTTAGGGCCTGGCATGTGCAAGAGCTCATTAAATGGGGCAGCTCTCATGTGATCATCTCTTTATGGCTCAGGCTTGTTTCTTTACACTTAACGGACTGCTGCCTTAGGTCTGTCTGTCTTCCTCTCTTGATGCTAAGCATGCCACGAGTCCTTTATTCAGAGCACACATCTCTGGGACTTCTCCCACCATGCTGCACTAGGCACTGGCTTTGCACATAAAACATACGTGGTCCCAGCCCTCCCACAGTGATGGGTATCCAATGGTCGCCCCCTCGCAGGCGCTCTGCGTTCCAAGCAGACCCAGCTCAGTTGGCACATTCATACTCTGGGCCTTTGCACCAGTTCCTTCATTTTAACTGCAGTTTCCTTTTCTCTTGTCAGATTCTACTAAAATCCATAGTATAAGCAGTTTATACTGCTTATTTCTGGGTTAAAGGGCTTGTGATATTTTGTTACTTCCTTCTTTGAGCCCGTTGTTTGAATTAATGCAAAGATCAAGTGTCATATTTATTTAAAAAAATAAACAAACCCAAAATTGTTATTTAAAAAAGAATTTTCCCTAAACATCGCCACTTCTGTGGAGCCTCCCTTTGCTCCTGGAACTGGATTCTTGCTCCTCTTTGTCCCCAAGGCACCGTGTGTGACAGCACCTCTCAGTTGTTGGCATTTGTTGTTTAAACGTTTGTCTCCCTGACTTGACTTTGAAGCCCTCCCTCGGGCAGGGACTGGGTTGTTTCTTGCAGTGCCTGCCTGACTGTAAGAGTTAACTGTAAGAGTTCGAGACATTGTTCTCTTAGGTGCTTATTGCTGCTGTGAATTTATAACCTAAGTGCGTAACAGGGTGAGATATTGAGAAAGAAATCAGTGCCCTAGTCTTTTTTGCCTCCTGTGCACTCCTGGGCCAAAGGCAAAGGCCGTCTCTGCACTGCCCTCCCTGCCTCCCTCCTAGGAAGGGCAACCTGAGGTCCTGTGTCCGGCCTTCTTTGCCCTAGGAAGGAGTTAACAGTGGCTTTTGTATTTCTGGGCAAAAAATAAAAAACTAAAAACACAATGGCTTTTGTAATTTACTAGGGACAAAAAATAAAAAAAACTAAAAAAACAAACAAAAAAAAAAAAAGAAAAGAAAGAAAAAAGAAAAAGAAAACACCCAGATTGCCCTGTGTGAAAGACAGCTGTAGCCAGACTTTGGTTTTGAAGGTCTGGGAGCTCAGACAGCTGCATGGGATGACAGCTAGAGCCTGGATGACAGCACCCCCCACCCCCTCCTCCCTCATTTGCTTGTGTCCTGGAGGCCTTCTCCAGTCCAGGCAAGTCTGAAACAGCAAACAAAGACAGCCAGGACCCTCCTTTTAAGTTAAAGTTGTGAGAGAGCAGGGTTAGGGCGGAAAGATTTAGAAAGGACAAAGATTTCTTTTACTTCTCAGCTCCCTGTCACCACTCCGACCAAGGACCTTGGGAAGAGTGAGGAGGACTTGGAAGCAAGGAATGTGGCCAGACCAGGGCTAGTTTCTGCTCCCTGGGCTAAGCCCCAGTGGAGGAGGCGGGGTGGCCCTGAGGACGGGTAAGAGAGCCCTTTCATTAAGGCTGGTGTCCTGAGGGCTGGCAGACCTCAGCCTGCTTGGTCCTTCTGGAATTCCACATTTGGCTGCTTCCTCTTTAGTCCTGGCAGCTCTGAGCAAATGCCCAGTGACAGCCCGGTCTTCCCTCAGCCCCAGAGCCGTGAGGGAGCTGGCTTCCATCCCCCCAGCCCCTGCGAGCAGAGAGGCTCCAGCCGGAGGAGCCACTCCGCAGCAGAGGGAGCAGGGCGGGGAGGCACACTAGGAGTCAGATGAGGTCACAGTGCATCTCAGAGGAGGCCCCGCCGGCCGAGGGCCAGCCTGCATGACCGCAGGACTGAGAAGGCGCAGGTCCAGATGGCTTTTCCTTTGTTCCCTGCTTGTGTGAGTGAATTAAATACCATTTCAGTCATTTCATTAACCAGGGCATCCTAAGCGAGCGGGGGTGGCAAGCAATATATCTTAACTTTTTTTGAGAAGGCATTTTCTTCCCCCTCTTTTTGTCGTAGGACAGCAGCATGACAGCAGGGCTTGAGCTTCTCTGTGTCCCTTAGTGTTAAGCTACGCCCACACGTGGCCTGTGTGCGGCTACAGCTGCACTGTTGTTCTTCCACCCCGCCCTGGATCACAGCCACACAAGAGCCAGAGGAAGCCCCTTAAACTGTAAGATCCATCATTGCCGTCCTCGGTTAAAACCCTTCAATGAATTCCTATTTCATGAAAGCCAACCTCTTACGGGCGTACAGGTTCTG